CCTCGCCCAAAATTGAAAAAACAAATGGCATGAAACATCACCAAATGGAATCATATTTGAGTTTTAAGTTCGTAAATCTTTTACACCTGATGATGGTTTTATAAAAACTGAAACATGTTGTGTAAAGGATGTTCCAAAATGTAAATCGATCAATCGATATGGAACATCAATGATATTTTATTATCTTAATTATAAGAAATTTTAAATATTGTGATAAGACGGATCAAAATAAATAATAATTATTATAAACTTAATTTCCTCACAAGTTTAGGACAGTTTTAGCTGCAGGTTTAAAAAGCATGGGAATTGCACTACAGATCTCCTATATTGGAGTCCCTCTGCCTTTATCGTCAGATATGATATAATCTTCAGCAAAATTAATCATTTGCAAATGCGACCAAAGCTTTTCAAACAGAATACCTCGTGTAAGATATAATAAATAAAATGAAAAGTCGAGTTTACTTTCTTCGTTCACACAATAAAGAAGCTACTTAAACTCGCTCACTAATGTGGGATTCCCAGTCCTTCATCTTCCTCTCATCAGATTGTCGATGCAAACAAACTCTATTCCTTGTTTTTGTCCTGATAAAAATCAGGAAAACTTCAAAACTTTTTAAAAAATAAAATATTGTAATTGCGTCATATTGTGATCCGTATATTAAAATATATATTAAAAATTACAGTCATTCACAATTATAATAATAAAATAATATTAAAAGGTTTAAAATATCATTTTAATACACTACTAGTTTCGGCTGCATTCAGCCATCGACGGGTGTATGTATTATAAACCTATCACCATTTTACCATTTTACTGATTTTTACTGATTTTTTTAATTTTTTTTTTATTTTTTTATTTTTTTTATTTTTTTTATTTTTTTATTTTTTTTATTTTTTTTTATTTTACTGATTTTATAATACATACACCCGTCGATGGCTGAATGCAGCCGAAACTAGTAGTGTATTAAAATGATATTTTAAACCTTTTAATATTATTTTATTATTATAATTGTGAATGACTATAATTTTTAATATATATTTTAATATACGGATCACAATATGACGCAATTACAATATTTTATTTTTTAAAAAGTTTTGAAGTTTTCCTGATTTTTATCAGGACAAAAACAAGGAATAGAGTTTGTTTGCATCGACAATCTGATGAGAGGAAGATGAAGGACTGGGAATCCCACATTAGTGAGCGAGTTTAAGTAGCTTCTTTATTGTGTGAACGAAGAAAGTAAACTCGACTTTTCATTTTATTTATTATATCTTACACGAGGTATTCTGTTTGAAAAGCTTTGGTCGCATTTGCAAATGATTAATTTTGCTGAAGATTATATCATATCTGACGATAAAGGCAGAGGGACTCCAATATAGGAGATCTGTAGTGCAATTCCCATGCTTTTTAAACCTGCAGCTAAAACTGTCCTAAACTTGTGAGGAAATTAAGTTTATAATAATTTTATTTATTTTAATCCGTCTTATCACAATATTTAAAATTTCTTATAATTAAGATAATAAAATATCATTGATGTTCCATATCGATTGATCGATTTACATTTTGGAACATCCTTTACACAACATGTTTCAGTTTTTATAAAACCATCATCAGGTGTAATATATTTACGAACTTAAAACTCAAATATGATTCCATTTGGTGATGTTTCATGCCATTTGTTTTTCAATTTTGGGCGAGGTGTTGTCTTTTCTTAAATTTTATCAGATGTACATATCGGTCTGTAAGTAGAAGATTGAAAGAAACACTAAAGAATTTGAAAGAATTTATAAAAGAATTTAGAGAATAAAATGCAAAATATATAAATTATAGTTAGAAAGTAGCAGTAAAATATAAATAAAAATAATATAAAATAAAAGTAAATCTAAAATAAAACATACCATAATTTTAACACAGTCGTCTCCAGCCGGCGGTCACTTCCAGACGACCCCAAAACTTCCCCGAATAAAAATATCTGTCCGTCCCAATAGTGAAGATCCCACTTCATCAACCCTGGACATTAAAAGTTATATTACACTCTCATTATAATAAATTTGATGTAATTTGTAAAGGTAGGATCTGAAGTTTTCGCGGGTAGAAAATTTAGATTTCATTCGGGGAGATAAGAAGAGACGCGAAACGCCCCTGTAGACGACTTCTCCCTCTGTTCGGCACAGTTTCTGATTGTTCCCTCGATGGACCACGACCGGAAGTATTTATGTCACTCAGTTTTATAGGCAATAAATATTAATGTACTGCCCCGAGCTCTACTTTTTTATATAGGGGTGGTTTGGTAAATAATATGATTACACGGGAATATCGGTAAACAGCACATAAATTTTAATGTTTTTGATTTAAATAATTTAACAAAACATATCATTCTGTAATAAGGTATATTTTTCACAGGCCTGTATACTAAATAAATGTATTTCGCCTAAAATATGTATGTAATCGTTATTAAAAACCTGCGAGTTCAAGATTTGTTCTTGCCAGTAATATGAGGTGAAGTCGTATAGTAAAAACAGTTGCAATTTGACTCAAAATAAATATTAACAGCATTTATATTCCATCTGTTTTATTAGTCTTTATGCAATGATGATACTTTGACTTTTAACATGCCTAATACCTCGTACATTGATAGAAATCACCAAAAGAACAAAAACAAGACTGACTCGTACTTATTTATATTTTATAATGGAATTGTCTTTAATTTATTCCTTAACTTCGTGATTTAGAGCGTCATTTCAGAAATGAAATTATGCTAGTTTGTTTACTCCTCGATATTTTTGAATGGCTGATAAACGAACTGACAGAAGAGAGTCGTATTGAATCATTTATATCAGTTGCAAAATTCTCTGAACGGATCCACAATATATAACATATTTTACAAACATTCAATTCTGCGTATTATAAATATAACCCGCTTAATTGAAAACAATACATTAAAACATTAGAACTTTAAATACACATTCCTCCTCTTACCAGATTTTCTTCAGGATCGTAAGATTCAGTACTGACTCCGTGTTACCAGGCAGCTGATGTATGACTTGGACAACAGCACAGTAATATTTAAATTTTTTATGTTTTTTTTCAAATTTTTCTGTCGTATTGTGTTTTATTAAAATGTATTTTACGACGGTGTATAAACTTTTAAAGTCACGTAGCAAATGTTTCATTTTCGAATACTGCACACATAATTTAGTGAGGGGTTTAGTTCCCTGGACACGTCATGTATCTGTCATGTTTTCATTACAGCTTCGTGAGGACTTTGATTGTGGGAAGGAAATTTGTCTTGGAGAGGACAATTGTCCGCATGATGTGGCAACATTGCTCAAAGAATTCTTCAGGGACCTACCAGATCCTCTACTCTGCAGGGACCTCTATCAAGCGTTTGTTCAAACACAAAGTAAGAACCCTCTAGTTACAAACACGTTTTTCTTTCAAAGACGAGACCTTTATGAACGCCAGCTTGGCTACCAGAGAAAATTCTGATATTGGCTTTCCTTTCCCAGACTCATGACGACATCGACAGCAGTTATTGTATGGTATTTAGAATCTGAAGAATTGTACTTATTATGCAGTAGCCAGAGGCTAATAAATAATTTGTAGTAATGAAGTGTTTTACAGAGATAGCCTATATTCAAATCTGTGGTTTTCTACATTTCTAAAAGTAAATGTTAATTTTCTAGCTACAAGATTTACATTAGCAATAAATTGTCAAGGCTAAATTGGAGTATGGAACATCTCTCTATTGACTTGCAGTGCGTTATAACTTGAGTGAGAAGTACGCTTATTTATTAGTAAATTTCTCTGAGTTGGAAAGATTTATCCTAATAGAAAGGCAGTTCATGGCATCTTCCTCGATAGTCTATGCCTTCATGAGCTCCTCTCTTTTTATTAAATGAAGAAATTTATTCCATTTTCATTTCCATTTGTGTTAAAATATATATGATATTAAGGTTAATTAACTGGTGCTCAGTATAGTGACTAGCTACGGGCTGGACGGCCGGGGTTCGATCCCCGACGGGGGAAGAGAATTTATCCTCCAGCCTCTGCGTACAGACCGGTTCTGGGGCCCACCCAGCCTCCTGTCGAGTGGGTACCGGGATCCTTTCCTGGGGGTAAAGCACGGCCGGGCGTGATGCTGACCACTCACCCCCATCTAGTGCCGAGGTCTAGAATGAGTGGGAGCCATACCTCGTCTCCCCCAAAGCGCCTACATGGCGTATAGTGGGACAGATTTTTTAACTGGTGCCAGGGTGAAGTACTGAAGTACCCTGGAATTCCGGATAATAATCAACAGTTTGACGATGAAACAGAATCCCCTTCATTGTTAAATAGAGCAGTTGGAATGGATTTACTGAAAAAGAAAGCGTGCATGAAAGAAGTATTGAAGTAACAAAACTGAAAAGTCATGTCTGCCGTAGGGGAAATTTTATGTAATGTCTGTAATTCAAATTTCTGAAGAGAGTGTACTGAAATACTGTGTTCTGTTTCAGAGATACGGAACAGACGCCTGCAATTTGAAGCTCTTCAGCATCTCATTCAACTGCTTCCAGTTCCAAATAGAGACACCCTCTGGGCTCTGCTAAACTTCCTTGTCACTGTCGCTCGAAATGCTGGAGATTACAAAGATGAAACAGGCAATGTCACATTAGTCTACTATGAAACCTGCTACATTTCTTGTGCACTTCTCCTTCTCCTCCTCCTCCTCCTTCTTCTCCTCCTCCTCCTCCTTCTTCTCCTCCTCCTCCTCCTTCTTCTCCTCCTCCTCCTCCTTCTTCTCCTCCTCCTCCTCCTTCTTCTCCTCCTCCTCCTCCTTCTTCTTCTTCTCTTCCTCCTCTGTCTCCTCCTCCTTCTTCTTCTCCTCCTCCTCCTCCTCCTCCTCCTCCTCCTCCTCCTCCTCCTCCTCCTCCTCCTCCTCCTCCTCCTCCTCCTCCTCCTCCTCCTCCTCCTCCTCCTCCTCCTCCTCCTCCTCCTCCTCCTCCTCCTCCTCCTCCTCCTCCTCCTCCTCCTCCTCCTCCTCCTCCTCCTCCTCCTCCTCCTCCTCCTCCTCCTCCTCCTCCTCCTCCTCCTCCTCCGTCTCCTCCTCCTCCTCCTTCTCCTCCTCCTCTGTCTCCTCCTCCTTATTCTTCTTCTTCTTCTTTCCATGGCCTCCTCAATTCTCCTCTTCCATTCGGTCCTCTGTTACGTCCGTCTGTCCGAGGCTTTGATTGAGGTTTCGAAACATCTTCCTTTTTACTCCACTCTATCATAGTTCTTGTAATTCTGTCGTTCCATCCTGGTCTCGGTCTCCCTCTCTTCCTTCTCTCTTTTGGTTGCCATTTTATAGTCTTCTTTGGTAACCTTTCCTCCTCCATCCTTTGCACGTGTCCGTACCAAATCAGTTGTGGATTTTTTTTAAAATGATAATGAACAGAGGAACAGATTTATTCTGATTAGAAGTTGTTTAGTCACAGGTTTCGAGAGAAAAAGAAAGTAAATTTTATCCTCTAAACTTAAATATTAATTACGTGAAACGTCTTCCCATTATATTACATTATCTTTCTCGTCGTTTAACAGGAGAGTTGTCCGGGAACAAGATGGATTCCAACAATTTAGCTACAGTATTTGCGCCAAATATACTTCATTGTATAAAACCAGGAAACAACAAAGAATTGAGCACGGAGCGAGCGGAGGAAAGGATTGATGTCATCAATGTCGTCAGGATCATGATTGACCACAATAAAGAACTCTTCCAGGTACTCAGAAGCTAACATCACCAATCCCATGACTTACGTTCAGATTTCTCCAAACAAACCCAAATATTAGGTTAGGTTAGGTACTGATATTTTACTTTTATAAATTTAATTTAATCTTTATTTTATTATTATTATTCTTCTTCTATGGCTCTCTGGTCCGTGTTTTATCATTCTCAACTTTTCTCATATTGGTGCAGTAGCACTATTATGATTCTTTAGTAGGGCATTAACCATTGTCTATTATTTAAAAAAATAAAAATTCTTAAACCTAATGTATTTTGAAAACTGGCTCTCTCTTTGTCTTATTTGGTGTCTCTCACTTTAGCAGCACTCTAGTCCACCCGATAAGAAACATTCCCCCTTGCACCGCCCCAGAAACGACTTCCACCCGCAGGGCTTTTCTCCTGGTCTGTGGACAGTACTACCACAACACACCTTTTCTTTAGCTACTCTGCAGCTGCTTGGAAGCCTCGAGTAGAAAGTTTTGAGCGAGTCATTTGTTTGAATCGAAGAGACATGTGTAGAGCGCGCTGTGGCCTTCTGGATTTTAGCCATAGTCCGTCTAAGCAGAGAAGTGATTTTACGTAATTTTTATTCATACTTCATATCAATGTATCACTTCTATATATCATGAGTTCTAAGAATAATAATCTGGTAGCCTAGAATTTTTCTGTCTTTGTACATCCGGTGATAAATGAGAACGATTAACGATTTACCTGGTATATTTATTATAAGATAGTTTCGTTCTGACAGATTCCAGCAGAACTACTGGACGAAGTTTACATTCATATGATGGACAGCCATCCTGACGCACTAGATTACTTACTGAGGAGAAGAGGATATCTTGGGGATGAGTAAGTACAAAATTGATCAGAATTACTTAAAATTTTAGGTTTTCTTACGTATGTGAGTTAAGAGTAATTACTAAAATTTATTGATGCATTCAAATTTAGGTTAAAATCGGACATTAATGGACACTTTAGATGGACGCCTTCTGTTCGAAAGTGTTGAATAGCTGCTCGGCTACGTGGAAAATTCCTGCGATGTCATGTTCGCGCAAAGGTCATTGACCTCAGACAACTCTGATGTCAGTGGTCATATTTATAAAGGTCAACAGAAAATTGTGGTGGACACACCAGAATTGTTACCGTGTTCACACATTTCTAACTTTGTGTGAGACAGTTTAACTTTTTTTAAAATAATTATTATATATTTTTTTTTTAAAATCAGTCGTTACAGACGTACAGACTTAATTTTTTTAAAGGGTCTGTGAGGTAAGTATTACTGCTTAGGGGTAAAATCTATCATTGTCGAAATAGTACCCATAGTCTTCGCCCAACTACAGGTTGGTCGATGAACTTGAGGGTACTGTCGCAGAAGGCGTGTGTGGTGAGACGCCATCCGTTCCAAGAACTCTAACGCAGACTGGCAGCGAACATCAGCTGGCAACCACATTCAGTGAGACTGAAGACCAGCTAAGAACTGTACGTCGGGTGTGGTCACGCGAGGAGTTTCTGCATGAGACAGCTGGGATGGGTGGTCCTGATGTGTCCATGAGACCAAGGTTTGTTCCTTCAGCTCTAAAGACGTTGTAGTGTTTATAATTATGAGTCACAAAGGTCATTTGGAAGTACTCGTATATATTTTATGTTATTGCATTAGATTTAAAATTGTATCTGAATGTAGCGTAATAATAGTTTTTTTTAGATTTTTTTTTTTCAAATTTCAGTATCGTAATGTTTTTAATGACAGTAACTTTGTTACACTTTACGATACGCTCTGTACATCAAAAACCGAGCAATTTAAATTTTCTAAGTCCAAAACCAGAAGTTATGTAAGTGTACAGATGGCATCATAATTCCAGTCATTCATGATCTCTTTGTACTGGATTTTCTGTATCTCCTACTGGGAACGATCCGTTCTTCAAGTTCCTGAGCATCTGCGGGGTCCCAACTTTTCGTTGGTAGGACTCATCACGGGTAATTTCCGCCACCGTCGTCAGTACCCTGATGATGTAGGTAACAAGCACTTCCGAAACAGCAGGCAACATCTACCAGACTACAAAGTACGACATTCCTGAAGACGGTCCATTCATCAGTTGCAATTATAAAATTCTGTTTCAGACACAAGGACCGTGATCGTGGAAGAGAGCGGTCTTCTAAAAAACGTTGGAAGGAAGAACCGAGTTCTAGGAAGAAAGTAGAACCAGACGGAGAGATAGATTTACCTAAAACCGGATTCGGCATCGCGTCATCTACTTCAGCATCCCAGATTTCATTGTCGAGTTATCAGAAAAGCTCGTTTCTGCCTGAACAGCATCTTGAAACCGCGGCTAAAATGAGATCAGCTTCTATTAATGATGGCGACGCTGTGACAACGGGCGATCTCTTGGAACGGGGGTTTTACGACGAGGTTAATGACGACGGCTGCAGAAGACAGTCGTCCCCGCAGCTCTCGGACAGCGGGAGTGGAGGAGGCGTCATAACAGCCAGCCTTAAGATCCCGGTACCCAGCGGAACAAGTGGCACGTCATTTGCGTTGAACTTAGATGACGCGGATATTCCTTACATCGAAGATGGAGGCGGAGGATTCAGTATCACCTCGAATGGCGGACGTCAGCATATGACAATAGGTAACTCTTATACTGGAATAATGGAAAAAATTATGTGATGAAGAATTTCATAATCTTTCCTCCTCTATCCTTTGCACGTGACTCTGTCTCCTCAATTATATCTCGATCCATCCTCATGATTTCTATAATCCACTCTCTCTCTCTTCTGGAAATTCCATCCGCTCTTCTTAGAAAATTCATTTCCATTAATTTCAACTTATTTTGTTGTCGTTCCGAGAGTTGCTAAATTTCTTTACGTAATATTATTAAAATATTAAACCACGAAAGACAGGGTTTGTGGAGAATGGAAGAATTTAATATTACGGCTTCTCGGATTTTTCTAGACGTCTACACGAAAAGGTTATAAACGAAGACAATTTATTTAAACTTTTTTACAAATGCTGCTTAATTCCTGTTGCAAAGTAACTAACTAACCAACTAACTGCCTACCTTCGTGGATAAAATTCCTAATTGAGAAGTTTTATTCAGAGTTCCCAACCAAAACTTTGTACAGATTTCTAATCTCCCCATGCTCACTAATGCCTCGTCCATCTAAACCTCATTAATTTGATCTTCGTAAAGAGTAAAAACTTTGGAGCTCATCATTACGCGGTTTTCTCGAGCATTCCGCTATTTCATCTCTCTTAGGTTTAAATATTCTCGTATTCTTGAACGCCGTGAATCCGTGCAATTCATTTAACATTAGAGACCGTGTTTTATACCCACACAGAGCAACAGATAACGTTATAGAGATTTATTTGTTAATTATTTATATTTTTTTTTGCAAACACAAGGATAAAATTTTCTAAATTGAATGATATCAAGCATTTTTCGAAATTATTTTGCAGTTCTCATTTGTTACCGTCATACCAAGAAGTTTTAATTTTTTTTTGTATTTTTAAAATTTTTATTTGGTTGCCTTCGTATAATGATTTTGACCTGTAGTCTTCTAATGGGACAAGGACAAGAATTTTTCTCTATACTTCCTTCTAGACCACGTGCTTCAAGGAACTAGTACACCTTCCGTGATTTTATTTTTAATATTTTTGGTTTCGTCCATTAAAATTAACACGCGCCTCAATCAGTTCCAATCCATCTGTTTATTCGAGCCTTCGTATTGATAAATTCTAAAGCAGAGTTGAAAATCGGTAGTCACGAGGCTCCTATTATTTAGAACATTAAATAAATCAGATAAATGTTTACCGATTTCTTATCAACACATTTTAATTAGCCCAACTTATTTCATTCGCGTATTAAATTCAATGCGAATGATATATAATACTTCCCTCTGAACTGAATTACAGACTTAATCTTCAGTAACCAACAGATGCACAGTTTCTAATCAATCGTTGAACAATTTACGTCAAAATTCACGCCGATGGTCCCCAAAAATATTATCTAAGTATGAAATTAATTAACCTTGACAGAGGTGGGATAAATCTTCGTGTGTCCGCGTGATCTTTCTGATAGGTACGTGGATCAGACGAGGAGTAGAATAATATTAAAATGCAGCACAAAATGAACAATTACAAATAAATTATAAGACTCAAACTGTGTACAAAATACAAGAACGTCAAAACCAGAAAGTGTTTGCAACCTCAAGTAGACTGCAGTGGGGCAAAAACCCCCCAAAATCCACGTGGGCAACTTAAACCAGACTCATTCAAGATGGATGTCACCTAAGTTGACTACCAGCAAGAAATGAAGGCAGAGACTGTTTTTAACGATGCACCAGATGATGGAGGCAGTATGACCTCTGAAACGTCGGTTAATATCGACCAGACTACACAGCGCAACAACCCAGAAGACGGAAATCTTCATACTCTGATGACGGAGGCAGCATGAACCTCTGAAATGTTGGTAAATTTCTACCAGACTACACAGCACTGTGACCCTCAGTCTTGTACTCCATTGATTGAACCTTTCTTTAGATGTTGTTCAAAGTCCCATAAGTTTTCCTTGACTTTATCAAAGGTAGGAGATTAAAATCGCTGTACTTTGAGACCGCATGATAAGTTTCAGTTCTGTATTTAATGGTTTAGTGGTATGATGCTATGACACATGTCCAGCTGGACTGTATAAGCTGTGACACATAGCTTTTAAAGTTTAATAAGTGTTCTTATCTCCCCCTAATTGCTGCTCAAAGCTCCAGTCAGTAGAGGACCCACTTGTGAAACAGAAAACAAAGCAGATAATTAGGATTTGAAGTTCTCAGTGGTGAGTATGAAGATGGCTATCTTCTGGGTTGTAGCATTGTGTAGTCTGGTAGTTCTACCAGACTACATGGTGTTACAACCCAAATATCAGCCATCAAAATAGATAATTGATTGTGTTTCCACAACTGCTCCATGCTGAATCTCATTGCCAATGCTAAGACTGACCTCATAGGTCCATCTGATATTGATTTAACTCTCTTGCCTTGACTTGCCTAGTCTGTCCCAACTACCTGGGTCTCCATTAATTATATAATTAAGCTGTTGGCCAATATTTTATAGTCAAGATTTTGTAAGTGTGTCTTGGCTGCCCTTGTTGCTTCCTAATCCAACATAATTTTTTCCTCATTGTCATGCCATTTTGCCAGTCTGTAATTAAACACTGACTGCTCTAGTTAAACTTCTGTACTAACATGATCTCTTCCTGTTTATCACAAAACCCTGGCATCTCTACCATAACACACATGTTAAAGTTTTCTGAATGCCCTCTCTGGTTGCTAAAAAAAAGGAATCTGACATTTGTTATTTGAATTTCAGAATTTTATAGTCTTTAAAGAACTGTAACATACTACAAAGTCTGGAAGCAGTTCGTATGATTTTCTTGTATACATATTGATCATAAAACATGGAACCACATGTCTGCAAATTTGCCACTTAACCAGTTACTTTAGTACTCCCAGAGAAGACATAAGAGAATATTTTAAATGTTAATTATTGTAATATTTTAATATTTAATAAGAATTATTGTGATTAGACGGACAAGATTTAATATATACTTATTATATCACAATATGACGCAACTTTACCATCTTATTTTATATAATTTGTTAACTTTTAAGGTATTAGGACAGAAATTTGATGAAAGAAAAAGAGAAAATTTTATTAAATTATTTATTTCCTAAAACAAAATTATACAAAGAATTCAAGGGAAATAGAACAAGAATAACAGTAGACTTCATGGAAAGTGCAACCTAAAGGAATTTGGAAGGAGGACGGAACTCGAGACAAAGTTCCCGTTTGACACGAGACTGCGAACAGTAAGTCAGCTAATTGGCTCTCTTAGCTTAGTGTCAGCTTGAAAAGTTCAGGTACAGTAATACAGATCTTTATTAATTTATATTAAAAGTTTTATTTTTTTTAAAAAAGTATAAAATTTTATTGTTTTCAGTCCAAATTCGATATTATACGTGTGTTTCTATACTCGGCAAATCTCATCCTACTTCATTTCGTGATGTAAGAATGACTTAGGAAATGTAAAAAAGTTGCCTCATTCTCCCTCTTAAGTCTGAAAATTATGATCGACACCCCATTCCGTACTTGCTTAGGGGGTAACAGGTGTTATTATAGATTTTTATACTTTGAGGAGAAGAAATTCATAGCAAACATTCTCTGAATTTAATCTGTTTTTAGCTCTTTCGGGAATGTAATTCTGATTTGTTACTGTCATTATCAAATACGTATTACATCTCGATATCCACAAAATTTCTGAGTAGTCGACTTCTTAATTGCAAATGGTATGACATTTTATACACGACTTATTTTTTGGTTCTGTGTGAATAATAAAATATAATGATATAAAAGATAAATTGGAAACTATTGCCTCACATGTCATGAGGGACGGTGCATCGTGGAATTACCAGAACATAAAGGAATTAGAGAGATTGAAATAAGAATGTGCTTATATTTCTTGAAGAAACGTGTGTGTGTGTAATGATGATGTGTCAATTACAAAAGTTATATATCGTCAAAAGGGAAATGATAGGATATTTGTAAATGATGTGGGCGAAAGTGGCCACAGCCTTCTTGAAGCCAGTAGCAGGCAGGTACAGAATCAGTATTGCCTCAGAATAATAACAAGTTAGCAAATGTATGCGTGGAAATTATGGCATGATCACAAGGCGCTGTCTTGTGCGACAAAATAGCTTTGTAACCATTATTATTATTATTATTATTATTATTTAGTGTTCTGTCTGACGACAGGTCCATATGAACAGGATCCTTCCATCCTTTTCTCGGACTGGGACCTGTTCATATACGTTCTTGGCAGATGATCCAGAAGGGGTTTGCCATTGCCTTCTTCTGTGTGTAAATGGAGTAATTGTTGGGATGCCACGAAGAAACCGGGGAAGCCCCCGTAGGAAAACTCCGTGTTGCCTAGACCACCTCATCTTATTATTATTTAGTGTTCTGTCTGACGACAGGTCCATATGAACAGGATCCTT